CCATTTTGAGATGCACAGACTTCAACTCCCAGAATTGAATTCCCAATTCTGGGAGTTGAAGTCCGTGCATCTCAAAATGGCCAACATTGAGAAATACTGCCTTAGGTTCATGAACAGAAGAGACAAGAATAAAAAGCTAGTGTGAATGATGTGAAAATGTTTGCTATCCGCTGTCTTGAACTGCAGGGGTGTCCACAGGGTATGGTCAAAAACGTCAAGATGGTGGTCATGACAATGTGACTAAAGCTCTGCCCATTTTTTTAGGCGCAACACACACAAAAATTGGGCAGAGCTTCAATAGCACCACCGTGGCTGCCATCTTGACTTTTTGGATTGTACCCTGTGGACACCTCTGTGGCATTGCGTGAGACAAAGGATGATTCCTATTTGTGAACTTCAACAACCATGATCCATCTACCCAACTTTCTTTAGGAAGGCAAATTAGAGGGAGAGATGATCACATTTCACATCAAAGCATGTGCTTGATTCTGCCTGGAAGTACAACGGTTGATTCAAACTAGTTGATTTTGAAAAGCAACTAGTTCTCATGATGGTTGAACAGTGGGATCTACAGAAGCAAAATCAGGTAAGATTTCAGATGTTTTGATGCCTCCTCCTGCTGCTTTTATTCCCTCTGCCTACCATAATTTCTCTCTTCTCTTTATGCTTCTTGAATGATATTTAGATGTATTTTATCATTCCTTTGATTGGCTGATTAAACTCGTTACATGGGCCGACCAAAGCCTCTGGGTGATTTCCAGTAAAATTTTAAAAGCTAGAACCAAACATAAGCTCGACACCCCAAATGGCATTTAAATATGGAAAAATGATTGCAATCAAGAGTCGGCAATTAAGAGCTTGTTTTCAGAGATGTCTTTCCAGGCCTTTTTGCACAGGGAAGGAATGAGTTACAAGCTTCTGCTCCATAGGGAGACCATTACTGAGAAATGCAACCTTTCCCAAGGAGGCCCAGCCCTTAGTCGCCTAGAGAGGAACCCCGGGGAACAGGAGGCAAATCTTCTTAGGAGACCTCAGTGAACAAGAGGGTCCCCATGGAGACAGGAATTTTCTCAAGGCTTTAAGACAATAGCCAGGGTTCAGCATTTCCCTGCCAATGTGGTGCTCTTGGCATCATTACACAGTGATTTCTTTGAATTAAATTCTTCTGCATGCCCCCCATTACTGGTGATGAGAGGCAGTGGGACACAGTGGAACAAGAAGTGTTTCCCCTCATCTTCACTGTTGCATTGCTGATTTTTTTTGCTCTGTGCTGGTTAATGACCACCAGAAGAAACAGACTGGTTTGATTTGAGACGCTGGCTCTCTTTTGCTGAGAGGATACGACACTGTGACAGAGGGAGAGCGAACAAGAAGTACAGGGGGGGGGTCTCCATTTTGTAGAGGGGCTCAAAGGGAGACCGGACAACCATTTGTTGGGGAAGCTCGACTTTGGATTCCTGCATGGGGCAGAGGGTTGGACTCGATAACCTCAAAGGACCCACCAAACTCTAGACTTCTACGGCATAATTCCTGAACAGTGTCATGGCTCTTCCTCCTGAAGCTCCATACGATGTGTCCCTGAATATCTAGATTGAGGTGAGCCAGGGTCTGTTCTCTGTCATCCCAAAACATGGAATAGGCTTCACTTACAGAAAGACATTTCCAACTTGACTGTATAAAACCACTTCCTAAGAGTTAGAGCAGGTCCACAGGGGAATCAAGGATCCAGAAAAGTGGTGGCGCCGTCACACATGTCTTAAAGTGGCCAAGGTTGAGAAACACTGGGGCAGAGGGTTGGTCTGGATGACGTCAAGGGTAACTTTCAACTCTAGGATGCTGTGACTCATGTTGCTCAAGAACATGAAAATGAAATGCATGCTCCAGATGTCAGCAGTCTGCAGAGGTTCTTCTTTTTTAAAATTACCTTAGCAAGGGTGGTAGGTGAGGAAGTAGGAGGCAAGGAAAGAGATTCCTCAGCTTCTAGACCTGGGTCTTTTAAATCTTTGCCAAGATCGAATCTGACATTATCTGTAGTTCTAGCATGTTGCCCACCAGGAATATTGTGTTCCCAGGATCTCTCTCTCTCTCATATCTCTCATCTCTCATCTCTCACTCTATCTATCTATATGAAATATGAAACTTGGAAGTTTGTTTTTCTTGTTCTGCTGCTCCATCTTTGCCTTGTTTATCAACCTCTAGTTTTCCTGTGCATGATCTGTCTGGCTATCTGTCTGTCTATCATCCATCCGTCCGTCCGTCCGTCCGTCTTATCTATCATCTCTATCTATCTTATCTGTCTTATCTATCATTATCCTCTATCTATCTATCTATCTATCTGTCTTATCTGTATCATCTATCATCTCTATCTGTCTGTCTGTCTGTCTGTCTATCTATCTATCTATCTACCTATCATCTGTCCTATCTATCTATCTATCTATCTATCTATCTATCTATCTATCTATCTATCTATCTCATCTATCTGTCTTATCTGTCTATCACCTATCATCTCTATCTCTCTATCTCTCTATCTCTCTATCTCTCTGTCTATCATCTGTCTTATCTATCTATCATCTATCATCTCTATCTATCTATCATCTATGTCTTATCTATCATCTATCTATCTATCTATCTATCTATCTATCTATCTATCTATCTATCTCACACACAGGAAAACTAGAGGTTGATAAACAAGGCAAAGATGGAGCAGCAGAACAATTTTTCATTTTGCTCTGGGCTCTGCTCTGGGTCAGTTACAAACCTAGCAGTTGCATTTATGCAACATGCCAAGCTAGCTTAATGTTAGCCTTGGTCAGTTCTGCATCTGTGTAAAGGACTTGGGATATTTTGTGAAGCCAACAAATGGGGTTAGTTTATGGCTCAATGGGTTGAGCAAGCTGAAATCATGGGTTAATTCAATAACCAGGTTAAATGTATTATGTTGAATGCAGTCAGTTTCTTCCCAGCTCGGTAATTGCAGTATAGACAACATGTCAAGTATTCAAACAACAACAACAAAAACCCACAATTATTTTGCTTTCTATTTCTGGATCCCTTTTGGGAGCCTGTGGGATGTGGTCAAAAAAGTCAAATCAAAAGGGCACATAAAAACAGGCAGAGTTTTGGTCACCCCATCATGGCTGCCTTCTTGACTTTTTTGACCACAGCAGAGGATACCCCTGACCCTTGTCCTTGCGTATGCAGTCCAAATATTTTAGGAACGGGATAAAACAAGAGTGCTAAACGGCATCTGAATTGGGGTAATAAATATCCTTATATGTCATGTCCAAATAAAAGCCCAGTTGGCAGAAATATAAAACAGGGCCCAAGCAAGAAGGGAAGATTTTGAATTTGGCAGGAAAACATCGTTTGCGCACCCCAGGCTTTTTTTTTTTAATTGGGGGAAAAGCAAATGTTTTAATACAGGGTTCCTCAACCTCAGCAACTTTAAGATGGGTGGACTTCCACTCCCAGAATTCCCCAGCCAGCATGGCTGGCTGGGGAATTCTGGGA